GCAGGTCGTTTCTTTTTCGGTTGAGGTAGGTGTGCGTGGTTTCATCCCGGACTCTCTTCGGAGGGCTCTGAAAGCGCTTGGATTTTCTAATCGAAGAATAAATTTATTTGTAATTTGTGCAGTAAGACGTCTCTGCGAAGCAGCTACATCATCTGGTTGCGGCGTCAACAAAAACACTGGTCGGAAGATCCACTTTTCTGAGGTACTGTATGTGGGGCTCCGTTTATTGAGGTGCGTTGAAATTTTATGTCTCTTTATCTTATTATTTCTTTTCTATAATTTCCCCATATGAGTTCCTATCAGTTGCTGTGAACCACCTTGAGTGGAGAGCGCTTGCTCGAGCGTTGAACCGGGTTCTTAATCCACCATACCCAGTTCGCAAGGCTGGGCGGGGTGTGAGCAGGCTTTCATTTCATCTTTTCTTATTATTTCTGCTTTTCATCTCATTACAAAAATTCTGCGCTTTTTCTCCATCTGCGCATAAAATCTAGACTGACAACCTGCCTGTTAAATCATGCACCTGCTTTCAGGCGTAAAAAACCCTGTTGTAGAGGTCTCAGTCCTCATTTGTTAGACTTACCTGTCTTTATAAATGTAACTTACTCTCTCTCTCTCTCTCTCTCTCTCTCTCTCTCTCTCTCTCTCTCTCTCTCTCCTCTCTCTCTCTCTCTCTCTCTCTCTCTCTCTCTCTCTCTCTCTCTCTCTCTCTCTCTCTCTCTCTCTCTCTCTCTCTCTCTCTCTCTCTCTCTCTCTCTCTCTCTCTCTCTCTCTCTCTCTCTCTCCTCTCTCTCTCTCTCTCTCTTCTCTCTCTCTCTCTCTCTCTCTCTCTCTCTCTCTCTCTCTCTCTCTCTCTCCTTCTTCTCTTCTTCTCCCCCCTCCCCCCTCCATCTCCCGATAAGTATTAGCCCCCCCCCCCCCCCCGTTTTCTTTCGACGCGTTTGCTGTGCAGTGAAGCCGAGACCCTAGGTCGGCAGAGCACATCAGACCCCGTCACCACGTCCACGATTCATGCCTGCGATGCTGCACCGCTGCTTTGCATGTCATGATTGGAAGCTGTGGCCTTAGTAAAAAAAAAAAAAACACCGTCGGAACGAGTTCATGATGAGAAACATCATTCGCGCGAGCGTGATGAAGAACTATTTCGAAAGACTACATAGTCTTTACCCCCGGGACGACAACTATGCGCACGTCCTGCAAGGGGAGAATGTCACCAGCGACATCAACGAAGACGACGGCAGTATTTCGGAAACCTGGAGTCAGCGGAGGTCGTCAGGCTCCTCCGCGACCCGGTACATGTACAGTATAGGTGACATGTCGACACGAGCGTGCGGAAACACAGCATACACTGTAGTAATGTTGCGAGAGTTTGCGGAAGGAGTCCAAGTCGGGAAATCCATCAGCTCCAAAAGCTACCTGTAGGTGGGCGATGAGACTCCAGTTCAGACTACAACAGTCAGGACTTGTAAATAGTTGAACTTTGTGAAGCAGCAGATCGAGAAGTTAGCTGGAATCGTAGCTGTTGCAGTATGTCGGCGCTATGTAGCTTGCATTTTTTACGGAGAGTCGATCGCCACGCGAATGTTTCTCTCCTCACCGAGAGCTAGCTGGCCTCCAAACTCCGTCAGGGTCTGCCTAAGGTACCGAAGGTCCTTTGACTAGCTGCTGGCAGGACTCCATCAAATCCTTTAGCTAAATTCGGTGGCGTGCACCGAGTCTTGAAAGGGGGGTTTCTAGAGTTGGTAAAAAAATTCTGGAGACGCACTGTATAATTATGTATTTTGTGCACATGAGCATCCCCCGAACATCCCGTCGGAGTTAAAGGGGAAGTATACCCTGAAATCAAATTTTCACCAGTTGTAGTCTTCTGGGTGCTGAGTCGAATGGTCTTGGTCCGAGGAAGCTGCGACGCTCCCTTCCTACTTGAATCCCAATCGAACTCGCGCACTTCCACCGAAACTGGGTGACTGCGCCCTACTAGATGGGGGTTTGTATGCAAAATGTCACTAAAAGCGCCATTTCGTTCTTATAAAAGCACGGATGACCGCGATTGGCCCATATGTTGTAGTCTTTTGGACGCTGAGTCGACTGGTTTTGGTCCGAAAAGGCTGCGATGCAGCGTTCCTCCTTTATTCCCAATCGAACATGGTTGAAGAAGCGGTCACGTGCTCCTGCGTACACCAGTCGCCTGGTCACCGTGCCTGCAGGGTACAACTTACTAGCCTGTTTGACCTTTTTTGGGTGCAGTCCTGTCACTCGAGTTGAACTCGAGTTGAACCTTGGTGTGAAAGTTGTCGCTTGCTGGCGCGGTGACCAGGTGATTTGGGCACCCAGGAGCACGTGACCGCTTGTTCAACCATGTTCGATTGGGAATAAAGGAGGAATGCTGCAGCGCAGCCTTTTCGGACCAAAACCAGTCGACTCAGCGTCCAAAAGACTACAACATATGGGCCAATCGCGGTCATCCGTGCTTTTATAAGAACGAAATGGCGCTTTTAGTGACATTTTGCATGCAAATCCCCATCTAGTAGGGCGCAGTCACCCAGTTTCGGTGGAAGTGCGCGAGTTCGATTGGGATTCAAGTAGGAAGGGAGCGTCGCAGCTTCCTCGGACCAAGACCATTCGACTCAGCACCCAGAAGACTACAACTGGTGAAAATTTGATTTTAGGGTATACTTCCCCTTTAACGGCGAGGGCTAGGGAGGAGGCTAGGGGGGGGGGGGGGGGGACTCAAGATCAGGGGTGCAGGGAACCAATGAACACTGGTGCTGATGAGATGCGGGGCTCGTCCGACTGCTATCATTAGAATCATGCCGGCACAAACGCGTCTGAGAGGGCAACCAGGTACAGGCGTAGAAAGGACAGAAATAAGAGTAATGAGGAATGGAGGGAGGGGACGATGTTACATGGAAATGTTGGTACATGTATGACCGGTAGCAGGATAAAACGGGTTACCTTTTACATACCAGCACTTCAAAAAGTATTTGCAAAGAGGGTGCAAAGGTCAATGCACTCATTATACAATCACATGTTTGTCAAACCCATAAAAGTTTGATAGGCCTAGCCGCCCAGGCTACATGTATACACTACAGTCTATAAGTATAACACTTTGTCTATGGTACTTCACTAGTCCACTCCATGCAGGCATGTTTGTTACATCAAAACACTGCTTACATTCGACGTATTTTTCTTTCTGTTCTTATGACGAAGTTTTCGGCATGTATTGGCAATGTTCCACATGATTTCAATAAAGAGTTATGGACCTTGCTTCGATGGAAGCTCGCGGGAGAAAAGCGAAGCCCCGCGTCCTTGAGTCGCGGCCCGAGCAGCGCTTCGTTCTGAAGCAGCTCAAGTGGATCATGGACGCACATTTTTACGTCTTCCAGTCGACAACGTTTTTGACGAACATCTCTGCTGCGCACATGAGCGAGAACGAAAGGCTGTCATCTTGATTTGAGTCAACAGTTTGGAAGGAGATATCGTCAATCATATCCTTGAACTGACTTGCATCGCGCGTGCTTGACTCAAATTTCGAGGCAAAACGGATTTCTTGAACGTCATCGCCAATCCAGGAGCGAACCAGAGCTAGCCTAGAGATCGATCTCTCTGTGGCTACTCTCCACTGAAGAAAGAGAGAATAATGTATTTTGAACTGCATGCAAAGCAACTCTCTCTCTCTCACTTCGAAATAAGGACATAGTCACTGTACTGTAAACTGCCCGTCGATCGACGTGTATGCAGAATAACCAATCCAGTACGAGCGTAGGCACGCTTTTCCTTTGGCAAGATTGCCCGAAAAAAGGTGGTTTCCAGACACCAAAAAACTCATACGGTGCACGCGCCTGCTGAGTGCTTGAGCTCAGCGAGCAAAAGTCTCTCTCTCCTCCTCCATGGGCTGACACACACAAACTGAATACAAAACGATGCACTTCACACGTGCTGGCTTCCACGCGTGCCCCCTTTCAATTCACGAACCCAGACGATCTTTTCGGGATTGGTCTATTGGAGTTGCGCAATGCCATTCTTATTTCAGGTCAAACAACACTTGGAAGTTGGAGAGAAAGACGGAGAGATGGAGGGAGACAAAAGAGAGAGAGAGAGAGAGAAGATAAAAAAAATTGGGGACGTCAAATTCAGCTGCTACTTCTGAAGCCAGGAGTCAAACGTTCCCTGTGGAAGTTTCGTTTTGCGCTGGGCTTCAAATTTGTTCATCCGATCAATCGTACCGACTATCCTTTTTGTGACTTCTCGATTGTTCGAACGCAATCCTTCAGCATCAGGACCTTGCGGTGCTGCTTTGTTTCTGGATTCCTTGACGCCATCGTCGATTCATTTGTATGACTGGGGTGACAGAGCCGCTCAGTCTTCGTTTCTCCTCCGAGTAGTAACATCGAGCAGAGCGCGCTTTCGATGTCTATTCTTGACAGCGCTTGGAATTCTGACAGGTGTAGTGCAGTCCACACCGACTCCACAGTCAAAATGGCCTGCGTTCATTTGTTCAGCCTGTAGTATAGTACCGAAAGATTCCTTTCAGGACCATGGAAAATCAGCAAAATATTAATTTCAAGAAGGAGCTAGCTTCGATCGAGCAACATTTTAATTATTATTTTGATTTCCTACATCGCGGTCGCTAGTTACGGGTCAAAAATCGTCTTTGGGACAAGAAAAGGCGGTCGCTGGTCGCGTTCAGCAGGTAGTCGCTAGTCACAGTCAGTGCATTTTGAATGTGAGACCGTTGTAGCGCCCGGCCAAGTGGTCGGTAGTACCAGGCTGGTCGCTAGTCACGGTGGTCTTTAGTTACAGGTTTTACTGTATCGACATAATCAATGACGTACACTCCATAGTCTTCATCTTTTTGTAATTATTATGAGTCGACCAGCGGCATCGCATTATCAATATTGCTGCATTCATAATATCCTTGGTTATTCTTCCTTCCCACAATACATGTACGCCTAAACAACCACAATGATCATCAAACTCATTCAACTCTTGTAACCGCTTACCCCGTGTAATGACGAGCCCGGTCCAGCCAACACATCCGTGTACACCGGTGCAGCACTTCCATAGCTACATTCCGACTGGCACCTGGCGGCGCTGCTCGCTGCAGAACAACTGAAATCACCCCTGGGCTGCTGGCGGTAGGTGACTAAGCCATTGGAACCACACGTGGAGCTTGCCTGCACTGGGGTATTGGTGGAGAAGCTCGCGAAAGGGTCTGCGGCTGGGAACAAGCCCTGGCCATGACTGCACCAAGGCAACACTAGGCAGACGAGCAGACAGAGAGCTAGAAGTCGCGCTGGTCGTGGATTCCAGGAAATCTTGGCCGCTGCCAGCTTCATTGCTAGCGTCCACCCTTTCAGCAGGTTGCAGCGCCTCCCTGCACTGGTCCGCTCATGTCCGGACTATCAGCTATGCACAAGAAGACCACGGCCAAGCAGGACAGAGCGCCCAATGGTTTATTTATTTATTTATTACAACATCAAGACTCGGTGGAAACACCGGCCAATGTTAAGAGAGTAGGTGATTGCCAACCACGGGGAAAATTACAAGTAAGGGGAGGGAAAACAAAAGATTAGCAAATCAACAGCAACAACAACTCCCAATTCTTCCTCACTCTTTCTCCTTTCTTACACTATGATCTCTTATTGGCCACTGGCTATCGTGAGAATAAAGATTTGAAACTCAGTAAAGAAAGAGAATGTCGAATAAAAACAGTGAAATGTTTGTCAAAATTCAACTCGGATGGTGAGCCAATTAAAATAATATTATGGTAAAAGGAGAAAACATTGGTAAGAGAAATGACCAAAAGTCGAAATGGCCAAAGTAAAATGAACCCAAGGTCACGGAATGATTCGGTTCACTCCGCAGTGTAGATGGACTTACCCACTGTAGATCACAAAGTTCGGACAACGCACACCGTAGACTACGGTGTGCGTTGTCCGATACAGCGATAGTGATCTGTGTGCACATGACTGGGACCTTCCAAAGCGATGTGCCAGTTTTGTGACACGAGAATGGCACGAGTGTACCGCTGAGTGTACCGCTATACACGTGGTCGACACTTTGTCGACACGATGTCTTTGTTTATCTTGTTGACACGTGACCCCGTCACCGGTCTGCTTTGTGCCAATGCCATGGCGCCACTCGGTAAACCAGGTAAACATGGTAAAGCCAGTAAAGGCCGATTCATACTTCATGGCGCACATCAGAGATACTACGGAGCATCAGCAAATCGAATTTTCGATTTGATTATTCGAATGGCAAAGAGAAAATCAGACTGAAAATTCGAATGAAAAAGAGGTTCAGCATGTAGCGCAGTCCAGTATTTTCGAATCGAGTTCAATTCTCTAGCCTGAGTAGTTGAGGACTGGGATTTTGAGATGTGCAATGGCTGCGTTTGTTGCAGAGCAAGTCGATTTGTTGGATTCGCTTCTCTTCCTTGAGTTCGCTGAAGGTCACCTGGACAGAACGGAGTTGCTGCTGTTTCTCATTGCCGTTGAGGATGACGCGAAGCGGCGGATGCTTAATCCGATTCAGGCTATTGGCGATAGGATCTCTCTTGGAGACCCCTTGAAAAGGCGGATCTCGGCCGAGCTCCTCCGCTACCCCTTGCATATCAGGAGACCCGCGGACGAATAGCTGAGGGTGGGCCCAACACTGCCTCAGCAGAATGAGATCCATGGTGAGGTCGAACCTCAAATATTTGGCACACTTTGAGTTGCCCTCTCCCTGCGGGGAACTCACCATAGACGCAGATGCCGAGGCAACGCCAGCAGGGTTACTGGGAGCAGGAGGCATATACCGCGGGGCTGGTAGTTGGTGAAAAAAGCCATGATTCCAGGATCTTGAAATGAAACAAAAAGCACACTTGACAAAACTTTTCACAGTTCGAGAGAGAGGAAAGCGTCAAGAAGTCCGGTTCGACTGTACCTTGTGCATGTCTTACAACTACGACTACATGTAGTAAGAACTAGTACTAGTAGCTACATGCGCAAGTATGAGTAGTGCCAGGGGGCCCTGGGGAGGGAACTGGGAAGGGGGTGGTTATCATGGTGGTTACTCACGTCCCAGTCTGCATAATCGAATCGTCCAAGTATTAGCAAGAGTATACATGTAGAAGTCCCCAAGAGACTTGTCCATAAACATGCACTCTTGGTATTATCTTGGTACAGTGTACAGTGTATTATGATTATTCAGTTACTCTCTGGCTGACGATAGTAGCAATAATCAAGAGAACGGTTACCATGTTTTCAGGGTCAGTGTCGCGATGGGAAAAGTCGCACCATCGGCATCCGGATCCCCTCTCTCCTTCCTAATCAAGATAATTATGTCACATTCTAGTTTGTACATGTTTGCATTACATGCCACGTGACCGTTACCACGTGTGACCGTTACCCCTCAGGGCCCTCACAACCTACACGAGCTATTTCAGCACAACTTTGGCCCAATTAACCAAAAAATTAGAAAAAAATTGCCAAAACACACCCGAGTCCTCTGTAAATTCGATATTTTGCTCGGAATTTGCCAGCAATTTCTTTTCGTGGGAAATTTCGATATTTTGCTGGAAGCATTGCCGGCAAATTTGGGCTAGGCCTAATGAGTACTCGTAGTGCGCCGTGTACTAGAGCACGCGCGGAGCATTCGAAAAGTATTCGAAAAGTATTTTCTCTTTGCGGGCATTTTTCAGTCGAACAAACCCCTAGTTTCGACTGATTGAGTGCTTTTCGTGACGATTCTCGAATTTCACTCGAAAATTCGATTTGCTGATGCTCCGTATTGATTCGCTTCGTAGTTGCCATCTTTACTCGATGCAGAGTGGCGACTGCGGCAGTTGCTGCCTCTTTGAAGGTTGAAAGAAGTGTAGCATCATCTTGGGGAGGCCCGATGGCGCCTCCACACCTGTTGTTTTCTGTCAACACATGCTTGTTGGCATTCAGGAGACCACCAGATTGGGTTGCTGGCTCGTTGCTTCAGTACTTTGGATGCTGTGGGGATTGCCCTATCAAAAATTCGATAATAATAATTAACTGGTTTGAGGGAAAGAGACAAACGGGAAAAGTCTGAAGAAAAAATTGACTGTCATCACCAGGACTCGAACCAGGATCGACCTTCGCTTGTAGCCAGCGATGCTCTAACCACTGAGCTATGGTGTAGTCGTCATCCCAGCAGAGGCCGTTCAACATTTTCTTCAGACTTCAATAATAATACTAATAATAAGCTCTCGACGATCGATCTACTCCTAAACTATCGTAATCCGACATCACCATTATTCATTTTTCTCATATCTTTCTCATACTGAAGTGCATATTCATATCGCAGATTTCTCGTTTTTGCTTTTGGTAGGAATCGGAGAATCCTCTCTCCGGTGAGAAGGCAGTATTGCCGGTGCCCTGAGAAGTTCATACATTTCCCGTATGTCACGTGATTGTCGCCTTGGAGTGGACCAATGAGTATGACAGATCAAACAGCGCGGGCTGGAAAGCGCGGTCCTGCCTGCTCAAAGGTGATGGGACTGGATCCACTGCCCGTCGTCAAGTAGAGTCCAGCGGATAATGCTCCGAAAAGGTTCGTATAATGCTAACCATAATGCTCCAAAACTGCCTTATAAGTATCTATTATTGCACGATTAAAGAGGTCAATATATGAAATATAGAACGAGTAAAAGACCGAGGTCCCCCGAGGTCTTTTACGAGGTCTATATTTCATAATATTGACCGATTATGAGGGCAATAATAGATTTATCACGACATAGCATACCTAAAACTGTTTTTGCTTTGCTATAGGAAGAAAGGAATACTATTGTACTCGAAGTAATAGTATAATAGTATGTACATATGCCGTTTACATTGGACATTACTTCTGTGTAAACCGAAGTTTTCATTTGTCTCTTGTAGTATGTTCCCCAAGTTCTTTGACTGAGAATCTGACAGTTTGGGTTCAAATCCCAGCATTTGGCTTCAGATTTTTCTTCTTTCAGTTCTGATTTTTTTCTAAGTTGGGGGAAAAGTTCTAAGTCCTCGGGCTAAGGGGGCGTTCGTTTTTGATCTACAGGTTTGGGTAGAAACTACTTCTTTCGGTAGAGGTGTTCGTTTTTTGAAAAAAAATTCTACTCAAAAGGGTAGATTCTACTTTCCTCTACCGGCTCTACCGGGAAAAAGTTGGTAGAATCCGGTAGAAGTTGGTAGAGCTACGGGATTTCCAGCAAGATCAAGGATTTGTACACAACTCCATAAAAAAAGAAACATTTCACGTACGCATCGTGTAAACTACTAGATCTGGTAGAACAGCGTTCGTACACTTGCCTCTACCATCTACCTCTATCGGTAGAGTGACTCCACTCTACTGTACCAAGTAGCTAAAAACGAACGCAGCCTAAGTGGTCAATATAAGCGGTCAATATTATGCTGATATTTGACCGCTTACAGATCACACGTTTCTGTGAGGGTCAATAATAAGAGAGTGATAATGCTGATTATAATGCTGATTGTAATGCTGATTGTAATGCTGATTGTAATGCTTCAGCAAGGGATATACATTGTAATGCTCTAGGTTTGGGACAAAAATGGAAGAAAGTCTGCACATTGTCAAACTTCCAGGAAATTATGCATATCGTCGATCTGCATCTGAAGTTGCCACCTTATCTCTCACGAGCTCCACTACTTCTTAGCACTGTCTCTTAATTTGCTTGCCAAAAATCCTATATAATAGGATTTGAAAATATGTGACCTGTATGCCGTTGTTATTGGTCATCATGAGTCATTCATGACCCATAATAACGGCATAATGGTTTTTCATAGAAGCTGTAAATATGTTTGAGGCATGAATGTTTACTTTTTAGATTCATAGGACATCATGAATACCCATTTTAAGCTGGAATTGGAACTTTGAGCAGCATTGTTAAGCTGGTGTCATGGAAACGACTGAAGCAGTGAATGTGCAAAAGAACATTACAGGTGTGGCACGGGGTGGTTTCATGACGACATATCGCACATGCCGTCGTGAAACTACCAGTTTTAAGGATAAAAGAAGGTCCAGTAAAATCTCAAATCCTATACATGTATATAGGATTCGAAAAATAGGGCACAGGTCTTAGAAATATTGCGCAAGGAGATGAGCTTTAGATGTTAGTATTTGAAAAAATTATCTTATTCAACTCTCCATATCAACTAAGACCTAACACGGAAGAATTGGCCACATACGTTTCCCTATGCTCGTGCCACACCCATTCTGAGTTGAAAAATATGACCAAAATCCTATATATAGGATTTAGCAAATTAATAATAATAATAATGACAGTTCGCATTTCACTCATTGCATGAGGTCAACGCATCTGTTAACAATTTCGAGCCAAGCAGCTCTATCAGAAGCAGATTGCACAGCATCCAGAAGCGACAGATTAATGCATTGTAAGTCTTTCTTGACAACGTCGATCCATCTCAGACGTGGCCGTCCTCGGGGTCGTCGTATGTCTGTTGTGTTGATCGACATTAGGAGGGCTTGGAAAGAGGACGATTCTTCGCCTTCCCTCACTACATGGCCGAACCACAGCAGTCTCCGTTGCCTGCAGACTTGAATTAAGAGATAAGACATGATCGCTTCTCCATTGATTGCTCTCCATTCCAACTTTGATGCTGTTTGTAGCAGAACAGACGGTGTATCAAATCCCTCCCCTAGTTATCCATGTAGTGAGAGATGAAACCATTATTGCAAGTAGCCATTCATTGTTGGGATGAAGTTAATCTTGGCAAATAGTATTC